GGGAGGAGAGAAATGGAGATCAAACCCAGCTCAACTCACATGGATGGAGTAGGCAATAGTAGATATTTTTGGGTTCAGCCCCAAGACTATAGTAACACTCTCTTCTTTTGTTACCGTATAGATAGGAAAAGCCTGGACTCTCTGTACTCCCTATGGGCCACCCCATTAATCCACTCTCTCAATGATATTATGTTCATCGGGCCAGATGAGCAAGAAGTAGCCAACGCCTTAGAGGTCACGGTCCACACGCATTTCAGACGATGGGGAATGAACCCCATGAAGAACCAGGGGCCCCCTAAATCAGGGACATGCCAGGATTTCTCATCCAAAGTAAAAGATAAGTTACTGAATCTTACATAGCCCATTATGAGGAAGGAAGCGCAGCGCCTCTTTGTTTCTAAAGGTAGCATATTCCACAGCTGCATTTACTGTTTAGCCCAAACGAGGCTGAGACTGGGAAAGGTCTGAAGAAGATCCTGGCTGTGGTGAAAACAGTGCTGCTACTTAGGTGACAGTGTCGCTTAGGCGACCCTAGGGTGTTAGCAGCATCAGGTGTGGGCAAAAGTTTCCGCGTGGAGTTAATGGCAAGCGCACGTGGGGGACTCACAGGACAGACTCCTCCTGGGTTCTGAATCAGGCCACATGCTCAGTCCCTCTCAGGCGCGATTTGGCATTTATTTTTGTTCTGTTGTGACTCTCTGCCATGCCTAACGTGACAGACACAAGAAGGCCAGATACGAAATCAGGCTGGACACAGGGAAGAGCCTCTTCCTTCCTGATTCCCAGTCTTCTTCCCAACAGCCTGCCCAACGTTTGTTACAAGCACCCTTACCTTTTTCCACCTGGGGATTTCTGGTTCAGCTGGTCAGACGCTGTTTTCTCTCTGGTCCTTCTAGTGTCCCCTCACATCATTACTGATAGTTTCTGGATCTATACCTACAGACACCACAAGGTTTCCAGAGTTTGTTCACACTCTGGGTCTCATGACTGAAAGTAAAAATAGCTCAATAAAATTTAGATTACCTTTCCTTCAAGTCTACCCTCGTTCTTCCAGAACACTCTAACCTCATTTCTCCCTTCCCTTTCTTTACACTGAGGTGCCTCTACAAGGCCACATACCTCGCTGTATGACATGGGGGGGGGCAGCACCAGGGTACTGGGGCAGGTCCCAACTAATGTTTGAATACCAATTTCCCCTCTGGCTAAATATGTATTCTGGGGCAAACTGCGTGAGTTCCCTAAGTCTTGTCATTTGCGAAGTGGGAATAGTAATGGCTCTTGGTAGGGCTGATGGAGGCATCCTTTACTCCTTTGCTTTTTGCCCTCCAACCCCTAAACTATGATGTTCTAGTGAATGGTGTCGATGGAGTTGGATTGGGAGGCTGGCCCCAACGGAGGCTGGGGCTCCTGGAGGTCATGGTGGGGAGATTCCTGGGCAAGGGCACCACCAACAACGACAAAGCTCAGGGGTAGCCTCGGGCCTGGCGCTTTTGGAGACTCAAAGAGGAGCATGTGTGGTATTTTTTCTTTTGCTTTGCATTTGGGACGCTGGGAGGAGCGAGGTAAAGAATTAAAGAGAAATGGAAAATACAAATGGTGATTAAAAGACAGCTGTAATTCAAGAGAACACAAGAAAGAGAGAGGAAAAGTAAATCTTCCAAAACAAACCCAAAAAGGGTATAAGATATGAAAAAAATCGTTACTTCAAAAAATCCATAACCCCAGTCCCTAATACATAATCGATTTTTACTTTTCCATGTCCTATCCTGATCATATACGTTTATATACTTATATAATCATCTAATGTATATGATCGTGATCATACACATTTATTGTTTCATGTGGTTACAACCTCAGCCTCAGCAAAACAAAGTTTGTATTCTCGGGCAAGATTAGCCTGTAATCCTGACGTCGATCTTCCCTTTTAGATCACTTTCCACATTGATTATTTAAGACCAAAATAACCAAGCCTAGCTTGTGTCTGTCCTAGTGTCTCATTCTTTTGGTGGCAGAAACGCTGCAGGATAAACCCGTTTAGCATGTGTCTTCTTGACTCCAGTAACGCCGAAGCAGGCCGGAGAAACCAGATATGCCCTGGACCCGGGCGGTGTAGATCCGTCATCCGCCAGATCGCCGCATCCCTGAGGCTGGGTCTCCTTAGCAGAGGCTGGAGACGAGCCGCCACCAGAGTGTAGCCTTCGGCCGGCAAAAGCGGCTCCGCGTCAGTAGGGGGCGCGCGCGCTCCGAGGCGCCGGCCCGGCAGCAGGGGGCGCGGCTCTGCTCCCCTGGCGGGCGGCCGAGGAGCCGGGCGAAGATGAGGTAATACCTCCCCCAAACGGCGAGGAGGTGCGGGGTGGGCCCCGGTGTGCGCGCGAGCGTGCGGCTGCGGGTGCGGGCGCGAGCCGGAGACACTTCGGGTGCCAGAGCTGGCGCTGCGGACACCAATCACTCTGCAGTTAAAAAAAAAGAAAGAAAGAAAGAAAACGGGGAAGGAGAAGAAGACAGTTCCGCTGCGGGGAGGGAGGTGGCAAAGTTGAGGCCCGGCGGCAACGGCGGTCCGCTGGCGGGTCGCTTTGCGGTGTCTAGGGACCGGGGTGAGCCCCCGGGCGCAGGTCGGCTCGCGTCCCTCTTGGGAGGAGCGATTCGTTCTGGAAGCAGCTGAGCCGATCCACAG